ATATTTTATTTAGAAAATATATAGCTAAAATCAATATTTAAAATTTTATTAAAAAATTTAAAATTTAAAAAAAGTTGCAGGCAAATTTGGCTGCAAAACAATTTAAGAGATAGTTTTTTTTACTTACTGATAAATTCTATAGTTGTATTTGTTTATTATAGCAAAAATGAGAGCTTGTTTGCAAGTATTTTCTCTATCTTATAAATATTACAAAAATAGCTTAATTCAATATGAAATTGCTTAATATTTGATGAATCTTTATGAAATATCATAACAATACAATATTAGAACATGATTGTTTTAGATAGTGATTTATAGAAGATAATGTGAATTCTAATATAGATAAGAGAATTAATCATATTAGTCAATGTTTTTGAGTAGTTTTAGCTATTAAATAACAATAATAAGGAAAGTATTTTAAAAGAAAACTTTGTAAAGGAGCAGTTATTCTACAGAGAAGTTTGGGGTTTGGTTTACACTGCAACAAACAAGTGTTTTTTATATTAAGACAAAAAATTTGATCAAATGATCAAACCTATCTGGATAATATGTGTAACAAAAAGTTAGTTTGAAATAACAAACAAATAATTCAGAAGCTGGCAACTCTGAAAATAGTAGTTCTGAAGATAGTAGTTCTAAAAATAGTGGTTCTAAAGATAGTGATTCTAAAGATAGTAATTCTGATAAAGAGAATATACCCTTAACCATTATGCTTAAGAATCTATATAAAGCTGCAACTAAAAGCAGGCCAAAATCATCTAGCCACAAAAATAACAAAAAAGAAAAACAATTAGTGAAAAAATTGCTCAATGGTAGAAAGAGAAAATGTGGTCCCAATCAATGCAGCTACTGCAAGATAACAGGTTACAATATTGCAACATGTTCCAAAAAGGCAATAGAGTTAGTGCATATATTGTTCTTAAGGGTATTTGTTAAAATTTATTATGATCAATTTCATTATAGTTAAAGTTAACTAATATAGTTGGTAAGAGTAGATTATAGGTAAAATTGCTTTTTGTTACAATGATTTTCTTGTGTGTTCTTAACTGTATAGCGATTGCATTTATTGTTCTTTATTTGATACATATCAATTGTTAATTGCCTCATAACATATATGTACAATTAACCCTTTATAAGCATAGTACATATTGGAAAAATGAAAAGTGCAAGTATATATGAACATACTTGTGGAGTATGCACTTATAGAGAGCAATTATAAATTAGCATTTATTGTTACTGTATATATTAGAAGAAAATGCATCTTCTTACAAGCTATATTCTGTATTTATCTAATATATATAATATATACAATATATATATTATTTATAGTCGCAATATATATGTGTATATACAGTATATACAGTATATATATTATACATATATACTGTATATTAGATAAATAATAAGTATAAATCATCACATGATAACAGATGCAATATATTGCATGACTATATAAAGGTCAAATTGAGCATAGCAGAAGTTCGTTTTGATTGGTTGTTAAGATATCCCGGAAAAAATATCGATCATACCCCGGATAGAGTACTGGCTAATTCCGAACAAAAATTTTATAACTCACGAACTTTTAAAAAACACTCTAAATACATATTATAAATTTACAATATACTGATTCAGTTTTATATTAACAACTTTAAATTAGATTTTACAAGAGTTTTTTTATTTTTTTTCGCAATAAATACATATAAATATTTACTAAATAATGTGTACACAATCATTTCTAACACTACTATACTATCACTTATTGTATTATAAACATTATATTCACAAACTATACTTATATCTAAATAAATTATAATCAAAAATATTAAAATATGGTTTAGAATAATAGTTCAAAGATAATACTTTTAATTGTAAAAAATACAAACAAACTAGTTGAAGCAGAATCTTTCAAATTCACTTACCAATTGTTTAAACCACCGAACCACCTTCCGGCCTTTCAAAATATTCACCTCTCATCTAGTTTTTGAAACTACTGCAATCTTATTGCATCTCAGGTTAAAAAACAATAAGTTTAAAGGTAAACTACCAACGACTCAAGTTGGTTGTTATGTTTTGTATTACAAAAAAAAAAGTTTCATATAACATGACGATTTTTACTATTAAAAGTACTTTAAAAATTACAATTAACTATATAAAAAAAAGATCGTCACCAATTATATATTTGTCCTAATATTGGCCAATCAAAACAAACTTCTGCTATACTGGTCAAATTGTGAATGTTTTTATATTAGCTTGAGTTAAAAAAATAGTGTGATTATATCAAGGTTGTGACTATATCAAGAGTAACTATAACAAGGTTAGACTGTATATGTGAATTATTGATAATAAAGAACTAAAATTATAATCATAATAACTGGCCAAATAAAATGACTTTTCAGGAAAACAGACACTGGACGCATGATGATTCATAAATTAGATGTAAACATGATAAAATTACTCTTAGTTTAAAAATAAATTTAAAAAAAAAACCAACAGTCCTCAAGAATGTTAAACTTAGGTTTGCGAAAATCAACCTTGAAAATCATCGGAATGTTTAGGTATTAATACCTAGATTGTCTGTTATAACAGTATAAACGTAAAGAATGCGTGCATAGGCATATTAAGTAGTAATCCATATAAGATCAGCAATATTATTATAATAAAATCTGGGGCAAATCTCATATAAGTTTTATAATAAAGTGGAATCTGTAGCTGCCTCAAAGTAAAGTTATTTTTTTTACTAAGTTGACCTTTTTTTCAAGTTCTAATTAAAGTTGTAAAGCTCATTTTTGTGCTTCTAATGGTAGTAAGATCGGTGAAATTGGTTTAGTAGTTCTTGAGTTAT